GAATGGTGGCCTGGCCAATCCCCCTGCCTGCACACATATATTTATTTTTTATTTTTTTCCCCCCTCCAGGCCTATTCGCTGGTGGACCGGGAGGTCGGATACTGCCAGGGTAGCGCCTTCATCGTGGGACTGTTGCTCATGCAGGTTGGTGCCAGCCCCGGGGTGAGGAGAAGCTGTCAGTGGGTTTTTAACACCCTCTGGAGACATGGTAGAATGGCCTTGGGGAATAGGAGCCATTTTCTTGATCTTCAGGAGCAAAATGGGCTCGTTCCCACCATCCCACTCACACTTGATAGGTTTAAGATCCCCCATTTGCATTCCCCATCACCCAGGGACGGCTCCCAGCACGTCCCATCCCATCACCTGATGGGAAGAGGCTCTGCGTCCGGAGCTGCCGGCAGAGGTTTAAGGGGGAATTCACATCCCTTTGGGTCTCTAGATGCCCGAGGAAGAGGCCTTCTGCGTCTTTGTGAGGTTGATGCAGGAATACCGCTTACGGGAGCTCTTCAAACCCAGCATGGCCGAGCTGGGGCTCTGCATCTACCAGTTTGAGTATATGCTGCAGGTAAGTCCTGCCCCACACCCCCCAAAAGGCTCGGGTTGGTGGGAACCAGTGGGTAGAACCAGGGGACAAGGACAGGGAGAGATAGGAGTGAGGTAACAGCTCTTGGGAGAAATGGGTTCCTCCAATGGAGCTCGTGTCCAGCAGCACAGATCCTGGGGATGTCTGTGCTCTGAGGACCATCCATGATTTTTCAAGTGAGACCCCAAGGATGTCCACAAGATACCCTGGGGGCATCCATGAGACCCCAAGGTGCTCCACCAGATGCCCCAGGAACCATCCATGAGACCCTGGGGACCATCCACAACTCGCCCCACCAAGGGACCTTCCATGAGACCCCTCAGGGACTGCTACAAGACCTCATGGACCTGTTCAAACCACCATGAATGACCCCTAAAATCAGCTGCTGTCCCCTATTTCTCTTCATTTCCCCCATTTCTCACACCCAGGAGCAGCTGCCAGAGCTGAACATCCACTTCCGCTCACAGAGCTTCCTCACCTCCATGTATGCCTCGTCTTGGTTCCTCACCCTCTTCCTCACCACCTTCCCTCTTCCCGTGGCCACGCGTGTCTTCGACATCTTCATGTATGAGGTAACGGGGCTGCAGCCAACACCATAAATCACAAAGGGACCACAGCCACGTTTTCCCCTTGGATGTGGAAACCTTCTCCCCATGCCAGCTGGTCTGGTTTTGGGGAGAAAACACCCAAACCCCGGGTGGGAAAAGTGATGGCGTGGGGTCAAGCGTGGACCCTTCCCACAGGGGCTGGAGATCGTCTTCCGCGTAGGGATGGCACTGCTGCAGTTCAACCAGGCTGAGCTTGTTCAGCTCGACATGGAGGGCATGTCCCAGGTACGTGCCGGTGGCTTTTGGGGTGGATTTAACCCACAGGATGTATTTCGGGGTGGATTTACCCAACGGGACATGTTCTGGGGTGGATTTGTCCAACAGGATGTGTTTTGGGGCAGATTTGTCCAATGAAGGCATGTTTTGGGGCAGATTTATCCCAACAGGCCCTGTTTTGGGGCTGGGTTTACCCAATGGGCTATGTTTTGGGGCTGGTTTATGCAATAAGTGGTGTTTTGAGGTGGCTTTATGCAATGAGGGCATGTTTTGGGGTGGATTTGTCCAACGAGGGCGTCTTTTGGGGCAGATTTTTCCAACAGGCCATATTTTGGTGCTGGTTTATGCAATAAGTTGTCTTTTGGGGCAGATTTATGCAACGAGGGCATGTTTTGGGGCAGATTTTTCCACCAGGCCATATTTTGGTGCTGGTTTATGCAATAAGTTGTCTTTTGGGGCAGATTTATGCAACGAGGGCATGTTTTGGGGCAGATTTTTCCAACAGGCCCTATTTTGGGGCTGGTTTTACCCAATGGGCTACGTTTGGGGGCTGGGTTTACCTAATGGGCCATGTTTCGGGGCTGGTTTATGCACTAAGTTGTGTTTTGAGGTGGATTTATGCAACGAGGTCATGTTTTGGGGTGGATTTTTCCAATGTGGGTGTGGTTTAGGTCTGGTTTTACCCAATGGGCCATGTTTTGGGGCTGGTTTATGCAATAAGTTGTGTTTTGAGGTGGATTTATGCAACAAGGACGTGTTTTGGGGCAGATTTGTCCAATGAGAGTGTGTTTTGGGTCAGATTTATCCAACAGGCCCTGTTTTAGATCTGGTTTTACCCAATGGACCATATTTTGGTGCTGGTTTACGCTCTAAGTTGTGTTTTGGGGTGGATTTATGCAACAGGCCCTATTTTGGGGCTGATTTTACCCAATGGGCCATGTTTTGGGGTTTTTTTACACGATGGCCTGTATTTTGGGGCCATGTTTCATGACTGGTTTCTGCACCCGCAGTACTTCCAGAAGGTGATCCCACACCAGTTCGACAGTTGCCCCGACAAGCTCATCCTCAGGGCCTTCCAGGTCAAGTACAACCCCAAGAAGATGAAGAGGTGAGATGGGGAGATGGGTTCCTGTGCTTGGGTGGGGTCTCCCCAGCAGTTGTGGGATGCAGGGCCAGGGGATCTGGTCCCCATCCTCATGTCCAAGCCTGTCCCCATGTCCCGAGCAGGTTGGAGAAGGAGTATGCCACCATCAAGAACAAAGAGATGGAGGAGCAGATCGAGATCAAGGTGACATAGGTCAAGTGTTGGCATCCTGGGTGTCTTGAGCCATCCTCATGGCCACTTGGCCCATCCCCAGGGCCAGCTGAGCCCTCCTGGCATGTCATAGCCCATTCCTGAGGCCACCTAAGCCATCCTAATGCCACTTTGGCCAATCCTAGGGTCACTTGACCCATTCCCAGAGCTGTTTGAGCCATCCTGGGATGGCTTAGCCCATCCTCAGCGCCGTTTAAGCCATCCCAGGGCCACTTTGACTCATCCCTGGGGTCACTTGGAGCCATGTAGCCCATTCCTGGGGACAGCTGAGCCATCTCAGGGTGACTTAGCCTTTCCCTGGAGCCACTTGACCCATCCTTAGGGTCACTTGAGCCATCCTGGAACAACTTCACCCATTCCCAGGGCCATCTAAGCCATCTGGGATCATCGCTTTGACCCATCCCACAACCATTTAAGCTGTCCACAGGGCCACTTAGCCCATCCTGTGTACCATTTAGCCTGTCCCTAGCACCTTTTGGGCTGTCCCCAGGTGTCCCCAGGGGCCACTTAAGCCATTCCGGGGCCACTTGACCTGTTACAGAGCAGTTTGAGCCATCCCAGAGCCACTTTCACCCATCTTTGAGGATGTTTAGCCCACCCCTAGGGCCATTTGAGCCATCTCCAGGGCCATCTAAGCCATCCTGGGGCCACCGTGACCCATTCCAGGGCCATTTAAGCTGTCCCCAAGGCCACTTAGCCTGTCCCCAGGGCCACGTAAGCCATCCCAGGGCCACTATGTCCCATCTTCAGGGTTGTTTGAGCCATCCCAGGGCCACTTGACTCATCCCTGAGACCGCTGGAGCCATCCAGGAACGGCTTAGCCCATCCCCGGGGCCACTTTACCCCCACATCCCCCTGTCCCCAGGCTGTCCCCAGGCTCAGTGCCCCCCCTGGGGACATCAACACCCCCCCACCAGAGCTAATTCCTCCCCATTTTTTTACCCCCCAGCGCCTCCGCACTGAGAACCGCTTGCTGAAACAGCGCATCGAAACCCTGGAGAAGGTAAGCCCCACGGCTAGCACCCCAAACCCTCACTGGGGACACCTCAAACCCCCACTGGGGGCACCCCAAAGACCCCTGGGGGCACCCAAACCCCCCCCCAGGGGCACTAAACACACACCCCTGGGGCACCCAAACCCCCCTGGGAGACCCAAAACGTCCCCTGGAGCACCCAAAATGTCCCCTGAGGCACCCAGAGATCCCAACACCCGTGGACGCAACCCCACAATCTCCAGCACCGCCCAAATCTCCCCTCCCAGCACCATTTTGGTACAAAAAAAAAAGAAGATTTAAGTCCAGCGAGCAGCTGCTTCATCGTTTTTCCACCCAAAATCTCCCTCCGGGACATGGAAAACGCCTCAGTTTAGGGCAAACCACCGCCATCACTAAGTTTCCCACACACCCTTCGGCATGAGGGGCGAAAAAAAGAGCTAAAATCCTTGGAAACCCCCCCAAAACGGGGACCGATGATGCGCGGGAAGGTTGCCGGGTGCCTCCGACTCTCGCTGCCTCCGTCCTCTTCGTTTATCTCGTTACCGTCTCTCCTCTCTTTCTCTCTCTTCGCCGCCGGCGGCCGCAGGAGAGCGCGGCTCTCGCTGACAGGCTCATCCAGGTAGCGTCAAAAATAGCTATTTTTCTCTTTTCCGCTGTGTTTTAACCCTTTTCTTCCCCCTTTTGCTTCCCAGCCCGCCCTGCATCCGACTCAGTTGGGGAAGATTTTTGCCTTTTTTTCTTGCTTTTCTGGAGGCTCCCGTGCCCCTTCCTCGCTTTGGGGGGGGGGAAGGAGGATTTAGGGGGGGGTGGTGAAAATGGGAGGGTTTGGCCCATTTTGGGGCCAAAAGCGGGGAGGGGGACAGGGCGGCGGAATTTGGGG